GCTTAGAACCTGAAAGAAAGAGAATTAGAATTGATAATATCGGCGACAGAATGACCTCCTATCGTCGATTATACGCCGAAATTTTTGATACTATTTTACAACAAATGAGCTCTCGATTTCAAAATTTTAACGAATTAAAATTTGTTGAATTGTGCAATTTTAATATTAGTAACTACGATTCATCAAAATTTCCATCGGAAGCTTTTAATTCACTTAAATTAATTTATGGAATTTTTTTCGATATTCCAGCATTAAAGTCCCAGTTAAGTGTTGTTTATGAAACAATTGAAATTAGTGATAAAAATACGCCCACAAATGTGTTAAATTTTCTTATAACAACTGATTTAAATAAGTCCCTTTGTGAAGTCGTCAAGTTGTCTGAATTTAGTACTAACCATCCCAGCGAAGTTTTTCAGCTTTAAAGCGCATTAAAAGTTTTATACGAAATTCAAGTGAAGACAGACTCTCTAATTTAGCCCTAATATCCATTAAAAAATAGTTTGTTAAACAGTTATCAGAAAATCGAAAATTTTACGACGATGTTATAGACAAATTTGCAGCCATTGAGGATAGGCGAATAGATCTTAAGTATAAATAAATGTCAACTGCTTTGTTGACTGTGCGAAAAATGTTGGAAAAAATAAAAGAAAACTTTAGTTAAATGATTTTTTTACGTTTAAATAAACCAACAAAGCTTTTCAATGGTAAGTTTTTGTATAGCTTCTAGTACTAAACTAGGTAATAAAGTAATAGTAACACTTCAAAAATCTCAATCTCGAATATCCGTAGTACTGAGGAAAAAAAGCAAGATTTTGACAAAATGTTGAATGCGACGCGAAAAATTTTCGCCTGCGGCACTATGCTTACTGGCCTGCTGTACTTTTATACAATCGCTTCCCCTTCCAAAAATGTCACCGCACGCCATTGGAATACATATGAAAATTTATCTGCAGGGTAACAAGCCACTGCAAGGGCTGCTCCATAATATATTTCTTGAATCCTTTCCTTTAATTGTTAGTGTACCGTACCGCAATTTTTAAATCTTTTTCACTAAAACCACTCACAGAGAACAAAGTTTACAACATAATATAATACAAATATCTGTTTAATATCTTATAAATCACTATAAACGACTCACAAAACTACTGCAACATGCGTCTGTCATATGATATTTATTTCGCGGCAACTCTACTAACTCTACGCATGACGTCAGCACCGCCATGACACCATGCGCGATGTCTCCCCTGATGCTGTATTACTTCGATATATTATGTCTATATCACATACTTTGATTTTCTTTTACTATACGGAGAATGGTCGCACTGCGCAGCTTTCTGAGTGCCTTTTAAAAGGAGATAGAAAACTCCGCCATTTTGAACCCTTATTACGTGTTGCCTACATCTTGGCGCAATATTTTTAATAGGTGCGTTTTAATCATCCACTTCTGCTTCGGAATTGTCGGTTTTCTTGTTTTAATCTGACATGTTAAAACGACTAAACCGACAATTCCGGAAGCAGAAGCGGATGATTAAAACGCACCTGATATTTTGCTTGCTGCTGTCAGTGTCAGTGAATATTATTTTTGAAGTCACAGTTTATTGCTAAAGAATCAGTTAGCTCACTCGGACCAGTTGAAAGTTCCAAAATAACATCCACTCCAGGGATACAATTCAGGATACGCAGAAGACTGCTGTTTTATTATAGGCGGTTGTCATATATTGTATTATCCGAGTTGTACAGTGTATAAACTGAAACATTGAGATCAAAAGTGCCGACGCAGAGTGAGCGATCTGATTCCTTAGCTGTAAACTGTGTCACAGGGTTCAAAATGGCCGCGCCCTATGTTGGGCCTGTCGGACCTCTCTCTTGCCTCGTATAGTAATCAAAGTATGTGGATTTTAATCAAAGTATGTGGTCTATATCCAGATATACGAGGTTATGATGGAAAAGTAATGTTATCACATACTTTGATTTTCTTTTACTATACGGAGAATGGTCGCACTGCGCAGCTTTCTGAGGGCCTTTTAAAAGGAGATAGAAAACTCCGCCATTTTGAACCCTTATTACGTATTGCCTACATCTTGGCGCAGTATTTTTAATAGGTGCGTTTTAATCATCCGCTTCTGCTTCGGAATTGTCGGTTTTCTTTTTTTAATCTGACAGGTTAGAACGACTAAACCGACAATTCCGGAAGCAGAAGCGGATGATTAAAACCCACCTGATATTTTGCTTGCTGCTATCAGTGTCAGTGAATATTATTTTTGAAGTCACAGTTTATTGCTAAAGAATCAGTTAGCTCACTCGGACCAGTTGAAAGTTTCAAAATAACATCCACTCCAGGGATACAAATTCAGGATACGCAGAAGACTGCTGTTTTATTGTAGGCGGTTGTCATATATTGTATTATCCGAGTTGCACAGTGTATAAACTAAAACATTGAGATCAAAAGTGCCGACGCAGAGTGAGCGATCTGATTCTTTAGCTGTAAACTGTGTCACAGGGTTCAAAATGGCCGCGCCCTATTTCTGTGTGTTTATAAAATAACAGACCTGTTAAAAATAACACAGGTTGTCAATCATAACCCCCATAATTTACTGCTCATTGCAGTATTAACAGACAAAGTAGATGTTTTATGAACATTAAATCTAATCTCAATGCGTTGTCAATGACAAGTGACAGTAGTTTTTCTAAAAAAAACGTTTCCTGAAGTTAAGTGTAAAGGTTAAAGAAAAAGTCCTTTATTTCTCACAAGTCAATTTATTGGCGACCGGTTTCGAAGTTGTCACTTCATCATCAGGCACACCTAAATGGAATATCAAGGAGTCAGTTGTAATAAAAACAATTATAAAAGCATGAACGGACTTTAACATATACAAAATAACAGAAAAAACACAAAAGAAAGTTAAACAATAACCTTGACTCACCTTGACTAATTCCATAAAGGAAGCGCTACAAAAAGTTTAACAGAACGAGTTAAAAAAGTCATGTGTAATAAGTATTTTTTAAAAAATGTTTTAAATGTAGGTTAGGTTAAACCACCAGATGTCTTTTTGAATAAAATAATTAATTAAAACACATTTAAGACAATTATTAACTAAACAACACAAAATAGTTTTACAAGCACAAACAGTTTAAAAAAATTTTAAGGAAATAATGTTAATTACTGAAAGTAAAAAGTAAAAAAGTAAAAATTATCAGACTGTCAAGACATCTATCTAGATTTTTAACGAATCAATGCAGTAAACTGTAAATTTTAAATTAGCGGATAAATAGTGTACTAACGGAGGTGTTATTTACTGAAAGTGAGTATAGGTGGCGATGACAAATTTATTGAAAGTAAAATATATTAAACTGAGAATGAGAAAACAAAAAATTTTTTATACTAACAAGAAAATTAGAACACTAAACAAGAAAATATGAAAATTCATATGTAAAAAGGGAAAATTTGAAGCAGATAATCAAAAAGAAAATTACTGTTACAGGAAACGGAAAATAGGTTGACAGTACGAATGTCAAAAAAGAGGAAAGTCAAATTTTGACGTATGACAACCACGTGGGAGAATTTGAATAAGCTAAAAAAATTTTAATAAGATGCGAATGGGCAAAAATTAATGGAAAGAAAATCTAATTTTCTTTTTGATTATCTGCTTCAAATTTTCCCTTTTTACATATGAATTTTCATATTTTCTTGTTTAGTGTTCTAATTTTCTTGTTAGTATAAAAAATTTTTTGTTTTCTCATTCTCAGTTTAATATATTTTACTTTCAATAAATTTGTCATCGCCACCTATACTCACTTTCAGTAAATAACACCTCCGTTAGTACACTATTTATCCGCTAATTTAAAATTTACAGTTTACTGCATTGATTCGTTAAAAATCTAGATAGATGTCTTGACAGTCTGATAATTTTTACTTTTTTACTTTTTACTTTCAGTAATTAACATTATTTCCTTAAAATTTTTTTAAACTGTTTGTGCTTGTAAAACTATTTTGTGTTGTTTAGTTAATAATTGTCTTAAATGTGTTTTAATTAATTATTTTATTCAAAAAGACATCTGGTGGTTTAACCTAACCTACATTTAAAACATTTTTTAAAAAATACTTATTACACATGACTTTTTTAACTCGTTCTGTTAAACTTTTTGTAGCGCTTCCTTTATGGAATTAGTCAAGGTGAGTCAAGGTTATTGTTTAACTTTGTTTTGTGTTTTTTCTGTTATTTTGTATATGTTAAAGTCCGTTCATGCTTTTATAATTGTTTTTATTACAACTGACTCCTTGATATTCCATTTAGGTGTGCCTGATGATGAAGTGACAACTTCGAAACCGGTCGCCAATAAATTGACTTGTGAGAAATAAAGGACTTTTTCTTTAACCTTTACACTTAATCCCTACTACTCACATATGGCTGCCCTCACTCCAAAAAAAAGTTTCCTGAAGTAATTAGGCAAAAATAAAATACTGTTTTTGGCGGTTTAGGTTTTAAATAGTATAAAGAATATTGGAAGGTTCATCATTTGTTTTACGTTTGATGAATAATATTTAAATAACTAATATTTTACAAATATTTAAGTGTTATGGACTTTCCAATATTTTTTTATGATATTTAAAACCTAAAACACAAAATACAGTCTTTTATTTTTGCTTAATTACTTCAGAAAACGTTTGTTAGATTTAAAAATGTACTATCGTTGAGGTGGCGCCCATCTAAGGTGGTGATAACCAAACATTTGCTACCGTACTAATTCTAGACATACGTTTTATTAAACTCATCGTGTTACGTATTTGTTGACATTATGAGATAGAAATTTAAAGTGACGTCTTGTATTACTTCAAATAATGCGAAGTTTTCTAACCTAAAAAAAAAAGTTGAGTTGTGTCTTAAGTAGTTTTCCTAAAACATTTTATTGAAACTTATTGAAGCTCGTATTGTATTATGTATTTAATTAAATAAACGTTATCCGACATTACATTATTTACTTTATATTTCTTCCCTCAGAAAAGCAAATTGACTCTACCATCACAACGATAGGTTATGTCGATAGTTCTTCAGAAACTACTACCACCACGATGTTGCAAACAACAGAATCTGATGATAAAGAGTCAAAAACTACAATTACTAAAAAAGCAGAACGAAAAACAATGCCCACTACAGTAACAATGCCCACTACAGAAACAATACCCACTACAAAAACAATGCCCACTACAGAAACAACTTTGAAAACAACTACAGAAATCATTACAGAAACAACTACATTATTATCATATCCTTACCCCGAAGCTTCTTCGCCACCTACCACAGCTATTCCAGTAGCAGTAATGGATGAGAATGAAGTCGATAATGTAGAAGGTATAATGGAGGATCCAAAGAGTGATAATAAAAATTATAAAAAAGAAATTCGGTAAGTATATATTTTTCATTATTATATTATATAAAATGTTTCCTAGATTGGTGCTGCATGTATTGTTGTCTCGGTTGTTCTAAGAGCTACATAATCGGTTAAATGAGCAATGTTTCTCAGGATTATATTACCATTTCAGAACTGGTATTACATTTTATCAGTTGTTTTTGGTTTTTGAAATAACCGTGAAAAACCAAAATGGTGCGTTTTCGATGAATATCTATATCTCAGTTAAGTGTAAGGGGTTAAAGAAAAGGTCCTTTATTTCTTACAAGTCAATTTAATTGGCGACCGGTTTCGAAGCTGTCACTTCATCATCAGGCACACCTAAATGGAATGTCAAGGAGTCAGTTGTAATAAAAAACAATTATAAAAGCATGAACGGATTTTAACATAACAAAATAACAGAAAAAACACAAAAGAAAGTTAAACAATAACCTTGACTCACCTTGACTATTTCCATAAAGGAAGCGCTACATAAAGTTTAACAAAACGAGTTAAAAAAGTCATATGTAATACAATAGTATATTTTTATTTTTTTTTAAATTTTTTTAGGTTAGGTTAAACCGCGAGATGTCTGTTTGAATAAATTAATTAAAACACATGTAAGACAATTATTAACTAAACAACACAAAATAGTTTTACAAGCACAAACAGTTTAAAATTTTTAAGGATATAACGTCAATTAATGAAAGTAAAAAGTAAAAAAGTAAAAAGTAAAAATTATCAGACTCTCAAGACATCTATCTAGATTTTTAACGAATCAATGTAGTAAACTGTAAATTTTAAGTTTAGCGGATAAATAGTGTACTAACAAAGGTGTTATTTACTGAAAGTGAGTATAGATGGCGGTGACAAAATTTATTGAAAGTAAAATTATTAAACTGGGAAATGAGAAAGCAAAAAAATTCTAACAAGAAAATTAGAACACTAAACAAGAAAATATGAAAATTCAAATGTAAAAGGGAAATTTGAAGCAGATAATAAAAAAAAAAATTACTGTTACAGGAAACGGAAACTAAGTTGACAAGTACGAATGTCAAAAAAGAAAAATCAAATTTTGGCGTATGACAACCACGTGGGAGAATTTGAATAAACTATAAAGAAACATTACTTAATAAGATGCGAGTGGGCAAAAATTAATGGAAACAGAGAAGAAAATCTAAATTGGGAGAGTTAATTGATTTGTGGTAGGTAACTGATTGAAGATCAAATGAGTGGGGGGGTATAAGTCTGAAATTAATTTAAATAAGCGCAGAGAACGTTGGGTTACTAATAAATTGAATTTGTGCATTCAGAGAGCAGGAGGGGCCAGATTTAATATTTTTTAAAATTTCCAGGTTCTCAAAGTTATTCAGAAGGAATTTATTAGAAGTCATATGCAAAATGTCGAAGCCAATGCTAGAATCAAAATCGTGACCAGTGTCTAACAAATGAGCAGCAAAGTGAGAAAAACCAGTAGTGTTAGTGTTAAGACAGCGTGTGTGCTCTTTCAGGCGTATTTTAAAATTACGAAAGGTCCTTCCCACATATGAGCATGGACAGTTCAAACAAGTTAGTTTGTAAACACCAGACTGATCCATAGGATCAATCTTATCCTTATTCCTAACAAATAGGCTACTGATGGAGTTGGACGTTCTAAAGCTAATTCTGAAGGAATCTTTGAACAAGTTGGCTATACGATATGAGAATTTTCCAATAAAAGTAAGTGAAACATACTTACGATTATCTGCTTCAATATTGGAAATGGGGTCATTTATGTAACTATTGTTCTGATTACGCTTATTCTGTTTTCTATGAAGCATTTTATCTATTAAGTTCTGATCATAATTGTGACTATTAGCAATTTGTTTGATAACATTGAGTTCTTTATTAAAGTTATCTACTGAAAGAGGTACTTTCAGAAGATGTTCCAAGTAACAATTAAAAGCTGCTAACTTAAGTCTAACTGGGTGATTGGATAAATTATCAATAACAACCCCTGTGTTGTTGTTGAGGGGTTGTTATTGATAATTTATCCAATCACCCAGTTACACATAAGTTAGCAGCTTTTAATTGTTACTTGGAACGTCTTCTGAAAGTACCTCTTTCAGTAGATAACTTTAATAAAGAACTCAATGTTATCAAACAAATTGCTAATAGTCACAATTATGATCAGAACTTAATAGATAAAATGCTTCATAGAAAACAGAATAAACGTAATCAGAACAATAGTTACATAAATGACCCCATTCCCAATATTGAAGCAGATAATCGTAAGTATGTTTCACTTACTTTTATTGGAAAATTCTCATATCGTATAGCCAACTTGTTCAAAGATTCCTTTAGAATTAGCTTTAGAACGTCCAACTCCATCAGTAGCCTATTTGTTAGGAATAAGGATAAGATTGATCCTATGGATCAGTCTGGTGTTTACAAACTAACTTGTTTGAACTGTCCATGCTCATATGTGGGAAGGACCTTTCGTAATTTTAAAATACGCCTGAAAGAGCACACACGCTGTCTTAACACTAACACTACTGGGTTTTCTCACTTTGCTGCTCATTTGTTAGACACTGGTCACGATTTTGATTCTAGCATTGGCTTCGACATTTTGCATATGACTTCTAATAAATTCCTTCTGAATAACTTTGAGAACCTGGAAATTTTAAAAAATATTAAATCTGGCCCCTCCTGCTCTCTGAATGCACAAATTCAATTTATTAGTAACCCAACGTTCTCTGCGCTTATTTAAATTAATTTCAGACTTATACCCCCCACTCATTTGATCTTCAATCAGTTACTTACCACAAATCAATTAACTCTCCCAATTTAGATTTTCTTCTCTGTTTCCATTAATTTTTGCCCACTCGCGTCTTATTAAGTAATGTTTCTTTATAGTTTATTCAAATTCTCCCACGTGGTTGTCATACGCCAAAATTTGATTTTTCTTTTTTGACATTCGTACTTGTCAACTTAGTTTCCGTTTCCTGTAACAGTAATTTTTCTTTTGATTATCTGCTTCAAATTTTCCTTTTACATTTGAATTTTCATATTTTCTTGTTTAGTGTTCTAATTTTCTTGTTAGAATTTTTTTGCTTTCTCATTTCCCAGTTTAATAATTTTACTTTCAATAAATTTTGTCACCGCCATCTATACTCACTTTCAGTAAATAACACCTTTGTTAGTACACTATTTATCCGCTAAACTTAAAATTTACAGTTTACTACATTGATTCGTTAAAAATCTAGATAGATGTCTTGAGAGTCTGATAATTTTTACTTTTTACTTTTTTACTTTTTACTTTCATTAATTGACGTTATATCCTTAAAAATTTTAAACTGTTTGTGCTTGTAAAACTATTTTGTGTTGTTTAGTTAATAATTGTCTTACATGTGTTTTAATTAATTTATTCAAACAGACATCTCGCGGTTTAAACTAACCTAAAAAAATTTTTAAAAAAATAAAAATATACTATTGTATTACATATGACTTTTTTAACTCGTTTTGTTAAACTTTATGTAGCGCTTCCTTTATGGAAATAGTCAAGGTGAGTCAAGGTTATTGTTTAGCTTTCTTTTGTGTTTTTTCTGTTATTTTGTTATGTTAAAGTCCGTTCATGCTTTTATAATTGTTTTTTATTACAACTGACTCCTTGACATTCCATTTAGGTGTGCCTGATGATGAAGTGACAGCTTCGAAACCGGTCGCCAATTAAATTGACTTGTGAGAAATAAAGGACCTTTTCTTTAACCCCTTACACTTAATCCCTACTACATACTCACATATGGCTACCCTCACTCCAAATATATCTCAGTTATTTGGTCTTTATATTAAAAAATAAAGCAAAAAATATATCTTCCGTTTAAAATATAATAACTAAAACTTTGTTTTTTCTTATCACGTTCACGTCGTTGTGTATCACTGGTAATACACAACGAAGCTCACTGATAGTCGTCGTGTACCACGGATGGTAGACCAGTTTATAATACTAGAATTTTTATAAACGTCTCAGAACTGCGTGAAATTAGTTGCGCACTAAATTATGGTTCTAGTACTGTCCTAAAATCACCTAGAATTCACTAAACTTGAACCCTATGTTAACTTAATATTCAACCAACAGAGGACTTTTATGATTAAACAAAATACACAGTAGCATATACCTATATTAAACGCCAACCGACAACAAGAACAAACTAACAAAAATAAACCTAACCTTCCCTTACAATGCTACCAGGTTATGTTAAACGACTCTCTGCACATGCCTACAAACACAGTCCCCATCAGTTCGCAAATTTTCTTGGAAATCATTAGGTTTGTTCTGGTTCCTCGACATGAAAATGATTTTGAAACTGCGGTGGACCGTGTGCATAAAGGCAAAAATCCCCGACTGTTTGAAATTGTTGGAAAACCAGAACACTAAAGTTGTTTTATTTATTGTTTATTATAATAATTCAGTTCCTTTTAAAAGCTCAGCTTCAAATAACATTTGTATGTATATGTCCATCATTATCATCTTCGTCACATTTTAATGAAATAAAAAAAAAACGGGAGAATGATATTAAAAAATTAATGTAATGTGAGCCATTTCATTATTCAGTCATGCTCTAATCCTCCAAGTCCCTTTCTATTTTATTTTGGCCTTTGAGGCTCAACTTGTCCGATTATCATACATAAATAAACCCCTTAAGACCAAACATATGTGACGACTATGGCGGAGGAGCTTTCGATGAATATTCGAGAAAGAACGGGATAATGTTTCTAGTGCATTGGTGATAATAGGTGAACTTTTTAGCACCTTCGCCAAACTTTTAAATTTATATATAAATATTGGTGAAGGAACAAGCGGGATCAGTTATTATATGGACAGTGAAGATAAACAGTGAACAGTTTAAAGACATTCAAAATATATATAAATTAGAATAATAATGTTATAAAATAAATAAGTATTTAAATAAATTATCAATAAATAAAATGTTGTTTAAAATAAACAAATATCACATTAATAATTCTAAAATGTG